TTACACAATCATGTTTTAGCCCCCATTACCACACAGAGCAAAGACTGTCTGTACCCAGTTGACGATTCTTTATAGTGAATTCTGTCTAGGATGTGGATCCTGTTCTCTGGCCCAATACACCAGCCTACTCGAAATCCTTAAATCTCATGACATTTCCTGCCTTTTCACTGAGAGTTAGTAGGAAAGAGCAGTGGATGAAAAGACAGAATGAAACCGAAGTTCTGTTGGTTTCCTGAACATAAGTCACTTAACCTGAGTTCCTATTTCCTCATATAAGAATGAAGTTCATAATCAGCTACCATGGACGTTGTGGAGGAACCCAATAACACATATGGGTGAAAGGTGTCTATGTTACTCGTAAGGTACTGAGGTAGGCGGAATAATGGTCCCTGAAGATGTCCACATCCTCATCCCCAGATCCTGGGTATCTAACTGTACGTGGCACAGGGGCTTTACAGATGTAAGGAGTTGAGGATATTCAAGATGGGAAGATGATTTGAATTAACTGGGTGGGTCTTAATATAATCATGTGTGTTCCTATAAGAAGGCAGCAGAGGGATTTGACTACAGGAGAGGAGAAGATGAATTAATGAAGGAAGCACACCCTGAATGATGAGCTTTGAGGACAGGTGAAGTGGCCACTAAAGGCTGACAAAAGTCAAGGAAATGGATTCTCCCCCAGAGCCTCCAGAATGAACCAGCTCTGCTGACACTTAGCCTTGGCTCAGTGAAATGCATTTTAGAATTCTGGCCTCCAGACCTGCACGAGAAAGAATTTATCTTGCTTGAAGAGACTAAATGGATGATAATATGTTACAGCAGCGATAGGAGACTAATACGGCTACGGACTGTGGAAATACCTTTGCACTCGGTGAATCTGTTAATACAGCCCTTTCTCACTTAGTGTTTCTCTTGGATTCCTCCTAATCAGATTTGAGACCCTTAGGAAGCACTGGGAATGCTAAATTGGAGGAAGACATACAGCTGTGCTCGTTCCCCCTTTGTCAAGTAGAACCAAGGGGAAGGGGCGAAATCCTGTCTTCTGTGTACCTTCATAATGCTTTGTTCAAATCTATCCTGATGGGTTCTTTCCAGTAGAATGAAATGATCTTTTCTTTTTGTATACCCTTTGCCAGGAAGATGAGAATAAGCGATTTGAGCCTTTGTTTTTGGATTCCATTTCAACGCACTACACATAGTGGGAAAAACTCTCTGGGCCTTCCCCCCTGAATAACAGTTATGGGAACTGTCTCTAGAGTGTTCTGGCAAGGTTTATGCAGGCTGAGCTTTGGGATCCACAGAATGACCTGTGTGCATCACTGGCACTGAATGGGTTATGTGTTTGCCTCGGTGGCCCATGGAAAGTCAACTCGTGCCTTTGTGTATAGTGTTGATCTCTGCCCTCCAGTCATCTAGTTGCTGTAATTGTTGATTGACATATGTTTTTAGTAGACCAAAAACAAATGTTAGTAGTGCTACAGGGGGCATGTCAGTCGCCTATCTAGTTAGGTCCAGAACTGGGAGCCAGTATATCACCTGCTGTCTTTACAGGAGGAACCCAGTATTATGGGGATAGGTCCTAACATGGGCTATTCTCGATAGGATGCCAATCAAGCTTTCTCCTGGATGGACTGGTTCAGGCCAAATGGGAGATTTCTCCAGCGTTACCCTTACTTGTCATTCCTTGATGGCCTCACTTGGTCCCCAGCTTTGTCAGCGTGGGTGTGTCTCAGTGGAGAGCCATAGAAGGCCGTGTGCTAAAGGGAATGGCCAAAGTCTTGGTGCCAATTCTCCCTAGAATATTCTCTAAGATAGCCTAGCAAAAGCCAGACTTAAAGTTATCGCAGTTGCAAGCAGAGGGACAGGCTGACGTTTTATGTTCCTCGTGTGAAGCATTAAAATACGTCGCTAGTATTTTTCCTTAAAACATTTACAAGTAGTATAATTATGAGGGGCCAAATAAATAAAGAATTTGAAACACATGCAAGACAGTCCTTGGACTCTGCAAAAAAGTCAGAGTCATGAAAAGGAGAAAAGGCAGGAGTAAATAGGGATTTTCTAAGTTAAAAGAGACCAAAGAAACGTAACCAAATACAGTGCGATAACTTGACTGGATCCTGGATTTAAAGCAAACAAAAGCTCTATAAAACCCACCTTGGGGATGATTGGGGGAATTTAAATGTGGACAGCACGTTAAATAATGTAGAAGAAATGTTCATTTACTGGGTGGGATAATAGTACCTCGCTAGAAAAGAATGTTCATATTTATATATCGTAGGATATATAAACTGAAACGTTCAGCAGTGAGGTATTTTATCAGCTGTCTTCTTTCCCATGCTTTCGATACTAAATATAAATAAAAAAGAAAAAATAGCTCAGATGTGATAAAATGTTAACAATGGCAGAACCTTGGTGAAGAGTCAGTGGATGTGTTCATTGTACTGTTTCTCAACTTTTCTCTAGAAGTGATCTTTTTTTTTTTTTTAAATCATTGGGAATTTGAATGTTTTTCAATGATCAGAAACACTCAGAGAACTGTATCTATTTACTTCTTCCTTCCAAGGGCATCTAGACACAGGTTTTTTTTTTTTTTTTTTTTTTTTTTTTTTTTTTTTAGACACAGTTTTTAAATCCTATTGCGTATCCTTTTGTCTACCAGTTTTCACTAAAGCCATCATATCAGCAGGTAAAGTAGCCCTGAGGGTACCTTCTAACACACCCTTTCTAGAGCTCCAAGCATGTTAATGAATGTAACTTGGCCACTGAACACAAAGGTCTTCCTTACAGGCCAAAGCCAGTTGCCCAGCGGACCCAGCCCGCTTCCCCTCTCTTACAGGGGCAATGCTAATTCCTGGTTTTCTTACACAATCAGCCACCCAACGTGGGGGCCTAGCCCCGGCTCAGCAGATGCCCTGACCTCCTGATTGTGTCTGCTCCCCAGATCCTGGAGTCCTTATTCACAAACATACAGTGGATTATATTTGCCTGGGTTGGTGGGGAGGATTTTAACTGCTTAAAGGTGACTGTTGTCCCAAACTAATTAACAGCGGATGTGTTTTCCAACAGCAGAATGTATGCAGAGTGAGTACTGCATAGATCGCAAAATTGTTGATCTTCAGGGACCTGAAAAAGCAGGAAAAGAATAGAACTTTAAAAAAAAAAGTAATAAGCACATTTTCAAGAACTTTTTGCTATGATTATTGGGGAAATTCAAGATCTATGTTCCAAGACTTTGAAACCCTACAGTATATGGAATTCCTTAAAGTCAGAGGGAATTTCACCTAATTTTTCTTAATATTTCCATGGCTCAGAGAGACATATATGAAGATTGCTGCAAAGGAATATCTTATACTGAGGTGGATGGTAATGAGAGGCATGGTTTATCAGCTATAGCCCTCGTGCAAGTCATGCATCATAGGCAGATTGTTTCCACAGAGAACAAAAAAGTAAACAAAAACTAGGAAGGTCCTCAACCCTCACACTTGCCATGAAAATCTCTGAGTGAATCTGTGTGAAGAAATTCCATGCTGTGTCCCTACTAACGAACTAAAAAATAAAATAAAATAAAATAAAAAACAGAAATGGTTAAGTACACTGTTACTTAGGTAATAATCACCAAGGCAAGGTGTAGAATCCATACAACACCCATTAAGTCAGTTCAAGAGTCCAACACCTCTGTAGAACAATTCATGGCCGGTGCTGACCCAAGATGTGAAATACCAGTATCACCTATCCTGTGGTATTAGAACGCTGACATTAAACATGGTAACAGCCCTGCACACACTTGCTGCCAACCGTCGGAAGTGCCTGGTCAGCCTCAACCCCCAGCCGTTAACGTCAGCAGGCCCACGCACGGTTACAGAAAACCTTGTCTGGGGAGCAGAGGCTTCAGTTTTGCTGAAGACGGGACCCGAGGAGGCTGGGCAGGTGGTAATACTATTTATTGAGCACTTACTATGAACCAGACCCGGTGCTAAGAGATTTGTCTGCAGACCTCCTCTCACCCCTACCACGACTCAGCGAGGTGGGCATTATTATTATTTTATTTGTTTTGCAGGGAGGGGGTCTGAGGATTCAAGAAATCAGGCCACTTATGTGCACGTGGAGGGCAAAGAGCAAAAGTCAGGATGGCAACCTGTTTAATCTGCTTTCAGAGCCTGTGCTTTTTTTAAAAAAAAAAAAAATTTATTTATTCATTTTAGAGAGAGAGCGTGCGCAGGTACACAGGGCAGAGGGACAGGGAGGAGACTCCGAAGCAGACGCCGCACCGCCGTGGAGCCCGATGTGGGGCTCGATCCCACAGCCGGGGATCCTGACCTCAGGGGGCAGAAAGCAGGCGTCGGGGTGTCCGAAACCGGCCGGGCCACCCAGGCGCCCCCAGAACCTGTGCTTTTAGACAACCCCGCTCGCTCCTTCAAGCAGGGACAGGGCACGGGGATCCTGTAACCGACAGCAGCCCCTCTGGGGCGGCTCTGGAGGGGCCTAGGAGCGTCTCGTACCGTCTTTCCGGGGACCGTAGCCCGAGGGAGGCGAGGGCCGCGTCCGCACAAACAGGAGCCGCCGCTCGCGTCCGTTGACCCTCGTGGTTTCTTCAGATCCTGGTGCCGGAGCCCCGGGGACCCCGGGCCTTCGGGGGTGACGGCAGAAACGCGGCGCCGCTCGCCGCGGCCCCCAGAGGCGTATTTTCCCCGGCGTCCTGCCGAACACGTGACGTCTTTTCCGGCCCGAGAGCTCGAGAGCTCGGTAGGGCCGACGGGGCCCGGAGCCAGCGAGGCCGGCGCCTCCCAGACGGCGCGCACGGGCGGCGGCCCCCCGCGGGGACCCGGGGGAGCGGGGGTCGCGCTGAGGGCGCCGGGAGCGGCCGGGCCCGTCCGGAGGACGAGGGATCGGGTGGCGGAGCCGGCTAGGCTAGCGGGGAGACGGAGTAGGGGGAAGGGAGGCGCGGGTGCGGGCCCGACCCGACCCGACCCGACCCGACCCGACCCGGGGAGGCTTCCCGGATGAGGAAGGTGAGGCTCCAGCTGGCCGGGGTTCGCCCCCAGCCGATCCGGCGCAACCCCGAGGCTTTTACGAATTCCCGAATTCCTCCGACTTGGGGTGGCTTAAAAACGTACCAGGACTTCGGTCTTCATGGAGGTTCGCGGAGGCTCACAGATCGGGGGCAGTGCCTCTGGGAAGCTACCGTCTGCGGTTCCCGAGAGAAGGGGTCCGCGGGGGAGACGGAAAGCGGGGGAGCCAGACCTCGAGGGGCCGGGGGAGGCGGGCGGGCGGGCGGGCTTAGGGTTGGGGCGTGGGTCCCCGCAGGCCCCGGGCTCCTGGGGGCTCCCCGGCCTGTGCCCGCCGCTGCGGGAGGGAAGCCGAGTCGGGCCCTGGAGAGCAGGAAGGGGGGCGGGGGCGGTCCTAGGGCTGGCTCACCCCGAGAGGCAGCCCCGCCCGGGTCCCCAAGGCCCTGAGGTGTCAGATCGTTACCAAGGATAGAAAATGAACATCTGGGATTAGAAGTGCCAAGCAAGGGGCCCCTGGGTGGCTCCGCCGGTTAAGGGTCCGGCTCTCGATCTCAGCTCAGGTCGTGATCTCGGGGTCATGAGTTCAGGTCACCCATTAGACTCCACGCCGGGCATGAGCCGACTTTAAAAAGAAGTGCCAAAGAGTCTAAGTTCCGGAGGTCTAGGGGGTGGTCCTCCAAAATACAGGTGTTCTCGAACATCTCAAATGCCCATTCTGTGTGTGCGTGCGCGTGGTGGGGGGGGGTATCCCTGGGCCTGGGCCTGGGCCTGGGCCTGCTACGTCGTCTCCCTCGCTACATCTTCCCTTGCTGAGAGGCCGCCCCTCGGGTGCACGAGAGCCGCGCGCCGCCGGAGCCCCGGTGCTCCCCAGTGTTCCCCCGAAGCCCAGAGGCTCCGTGTCCTTAGGAACGCAGGCGTCTCTCGTCGCCCTCTCCGATCGCGGGTTCACCCCTGTCCGCGGCCGAGATCTCTTCGGGGTTCCTGCGTGCCCGCCGCCAAAGAACCGCCGGCTGCCCCTGCCGAGGACGTGCCTTGCCGTGAGGCTTGCTCTGAGCTCTGCTGCCTGCTGTGCGCTGGGGGTGCCCGCCCGCGTCACCCCGAGAGGACACCCGCCCGCGTCACCCCGTGAGGACACCCGCCCGCGTCACCCCGAGAAGACACCCGCCCGCGTCACCCCGTGAGGACACCCGCCCGCGTCACCCCGAGAAGACACCCGCCCGCGTCACCCCGAGAGGACGCCCGCCCGCGTCACCCCGTGAGGACACCCGCCCGCGTCACCCCGAGAGGACGCCCGCCCGCGTCACCCCCGAGAGGACGCCCGCCCACGTCACCCCCGAGAGGACACCCGCCCGCGTCACCCCGAGAGGACGCCCGCCCGCGTCACCCCCGAGAGGACGCCCGCCCGCGTCACCCCCGAGAGGACGCCCGCCCGCGTCACCCCCGAGAGGACGCCCGCCCACGTCACCCCCGAGAGGACACCCGCCCGCGTCACCCCATGAGGACGCCCGCCCGCGTCACCCCATGAGGACGCCCGCCCGCGTCACCCCCGAGAGGACGCCCGCCCGCGTCACCCCGAGAGGACACCCGCCCGCGTCACCCCGTGAGGACGCCCTCCCGCGTCACCCCGAGAGGACGCCCGCCCGCGTCACCCCGAGAGGACGCCCGCCCGCGTCACCCCGTGAGGACACCCGCCCGCGTCACCCCGTGAGGACGCCCTCCCGCGTCACCCCGAGAGGACGCCCGCCCGCGTCACCCCATGAGGACGCCCGCCCGCGTCACCCCCGAGAGGACACCCGCCCGCGTCACCCCGTGAGGACGCCCGCCCGCGTCACCCCGTGAGGACGCCCGCCCGCGTCACCCCGAGAGGACGCCCGCCCGCGTCACCCCATGAGGACGCCCGCCCGCGTCACCCCCGAGAGGACACCCGCCCGCGTCACCCCGAGAGGACGCCCGCCCGCGTCACCCCATGAGGACGCCCGCCCGCGTCACCCCCGAGAGGACACCCGCCCGCGTCACCCCGAGAGGACGCCCGCCCGCGTCACCCCGAGAGGACACCCGCCCGCGTCACCCCATGAGGACGCCCGCCCGCGTCACCCCCGAGAGGACACCCGCCCGCGTCACCCCGTGAGGACGCCCTCCCGCGTCACCCCCGAGAGGACGCCCGCCCGCGTCACCCCGTGAGGACGCCCTCCCGCGTCACCCCCGAGAGGACACCCGCCCGCGTCACCCCGTGAGGACACCCGCCCGCGTCACCCCCGAGAGGACACCCGCCCGCGTCACCCCCGAGAGGACACCCGCCCGCGTCACCCCCGAGAGGACGCCCGCCCGCGTCACCCCGAGAGACACTAGAACCGCCGGAGCCCTGAGACGGGGAGTCCCCGTGACCACAGGCCGTACCCGGTGCTCTCCCGGCTTGGACCCCAGGTGGGTCTGAAAGCGAGGGGGGTCGGGGGGAGCCCTCCAGGGTGCGCGGCGCAGACACGTGGCCGCCGGGCCTGCCCCGCCGCCCTCAGGGCTCGTGGAGGGCCGTGTCTGCGCCTGGCGGCCGGTGCCGACGGTGACCCCACACACGCCTTCTTAAGCTCATCGCTGCTTTGCCTGAACTTGGCCCCCTCACAGCCCTTTTTTTGGAGTAAGACCCTTTTCCTGAAGGTTCTAGCGAGCGTCACACCTACTTGGCGGAGCGAGGCCCCCCCCCCGGCCCCAGTGGCTGATCCACGAACCCTGTGGGGTGTCCGGGCGGCCTCACACGACGGCAGAGGACGCGGTCGCACGTGGGGAGGCACCGTCCGAGCCGGGGGTGGGGGGAGGCCAGGACGGGCCCCAGGGGCCGGGGCTGGGCTGGCGGAGGGGAGGGCCGGGTGGAAGCGGCCCCGCGGCGCAGCTCCAGGGCCCCGCGTCTCCTTCCACACAAAGATCGCCGAGTAGAGACCAGGGTCCCTGCCATTGGCTCCGAAGAAGTGGAGGTTCGGGGGCTCAAAATAATTATCGGGGCCTCAGCTGATTAGCGGTGGAGCCAAAACGAGAGTGAGCGTCCGGCCGGTGCCAAAGCCGTGTCCTCCTCCCCGGTGATGCCAAGGGCAGGACGTGTCCTCCTCCCCGGTGATGCCAAGGGCAGGACGTGCTGGGCCTGGTGCCTGCGCTCCTGCTCCCTGCAGCCCGCCGTGGCCGCCAGGACGGAGGCCTCACCCGCAGAGCGAGCGGGTCATTTACCAGATGCCACGTTCCCAGACTCTGGCCCCGGCTGTCTGATGGGGCCCCACGGGGGGCAGCTCTGGGCTTTGGAATGCTAAATGCTTCCCTTCCCATTCAGATGGCTTTTCTGTTTTAAAAGCGACACGAAAAGCTTTTTTAAATTTCAAAAATGACCGCAGGGAGACTTGCACATGCCATTTTGAACTGTGACTATTGGGAAACAAATGTCTGCTTTTATTTTTAAACGTTCCTTCAACTCACGAAGACATTTAGGACACAGGAATGAAGCTTTTAAAACATGCTGCTTATCCCTGGAGTGATCCCCGCTCAGTAGAGGGAGGGCCACGTGTCCTCGGGGAGGACACCGAGATGGGGTTCTGCAGCCCAGCAGGGAGTCTCAGGGTCAGTCTGAGGGGCTTCCTGGGGTCTCCCATCGACCTGAACCCCCCCCAGACCCTCAAATGGAATAGTGTCAGTGCCAGCCCACCTCACCCACATCGGCAACCACTTAAGGAGGGCCTACAGTACGGTTCCCTGTGTCGCCCCTGCTCCGCACCTCAACCTCTAGGTGTTAAGAAGTCGGCCTCATTAATTATGTCTACACTTGGAGATGACTTGTGTTCACTTTTCATCTGTGTCCTACGTGGAGAGCCCTTGGAAGAAGTGTGGCCCACAGACACGTTCTTAATGACAAATGAATCTCGGAGATAGTAAGACACAAAGCCTGGTCGTAAAGCCCAAAGATGCCAGGGCCCTGAGTAAGGGGCGAATGAGGAAATTGCTCATAATCCCAACACCGATGCTAAGGCAGGAGGCGTTCCAAGGCAAGGAGAATTCCAAATAACGATTTTGGGGCCAGTTGCTAAAGAAATATTTGGTGAGCCCAATGGAATAGACGTTTTTGTTGTTTCACAGTCTTCTATAAAATCCTTACAGCCACTTTTGAGCCTGGGTGATGGGGGAGGGGGCGCATTTCCTCTGTTTACCATTAGGGCAAATAAGAACTGTTTCCTTCCCAATGCAACTCAGGGAAAATGAAACTTTACTTCTAACGTAGTAGGAAAAGGTATGTTCTCTGATCGTGAGATTAAAGTCTAAAAGAAGAGTCAACTACTTCAAAAAATTACTTAGAGGTTAAAATGCAACAATATATTTTCATAACCTTGGCTTCATCAAGGATGCCCAGCTCAAGCCGCCTGCCACTTTCATTTATGTCTCAGCGGGTGACCTTGAACACATCAGTGCCTCTGGGGTTTTTTCTACAAACACTGGTAAAATGGCTAACCTTCAGACTGAGGGATTTGACTATTTCGATGAATACTAGTACTTGGCACAACTCCTCATCTGCAAAAAATGTCAGAAGAACCAGTAAAGTAGAAAACAAATGACAAAGACCCACGTTGGTCTGGATATATATATTTTTCTTATCTCATTTTTCTTTTCCACTTAACTGTTGACCTTCGCCTCTGCTTGCCTCTTGCAGACTCGGGCAGCGTCACAGACACGTGGGAATAGAGAGGCCAGCTCAGCAGTAGTAGAGAGGAGGAAGTAGCAGGCAGGAGTTCTAGGCAAGTGCCTCGGACTGCCAAGTGTCTTGGCCCTTTGTGTAGACTGATAGAGGGTCCCTGAGGGACGGACGAAAGGACGAGCACAGACAGCAGTGAGCGTAGCTCTGAGGCCCAGGGTGGCCAGTCCGCCTTCCCCTGCCGACTTTGTGCACTTGGCAGGTAAGCCCAGAATTCTGGCCTGAGAGGGATTCCGAGGCAGCTCTGCGTCCTGCGTCCAAGCGCGCCGCAGTGGGTTAGTGTCTGGCCTGGACACATGTGGGAGAGATGTAACAGAATAGCCCAGAGTGAACGATAAATCATCTGCTTTAAAACAGCCCTATGAGACATGTGCTCTTAACCCCATTCTATGGAGGCAAAACTGAGGCGAAAAACTTAAAGAATTCTTCCAAGGAAGCAACTGGAGAGTGCCAGGCCTGGGGTTTGGACTTGCAGTCTGTCCCTCTGCAGAGCCTGTGCATCTGCTCCTGCACCACCTGCCCAGCTGGTGACCAGCTTTGTGAGTGGGGGGGCAGAGAGTGGCCACCTCTGGGCCTTGGGGTCAGCTTTGTGCAAGTGGTGATGACAAGGTCAACTGCGCTTCCCTCACGGGCACAGGGCTCCCTGGAGGACTGTGTCCCACGGCTGTATGGCACCGTTCACTAAGTCTTGCAGCTGCAGAGAAGACCTGATGAGGTACCAGCAGCACGTAACGCGAGAATCCTGCTGTCGCCTTGTCGGCTCACCTTCGGACACTGAGGTCAAACTAAAATCAACTGATTCTGAGTACCCGATTGGCTTTGAAGGGTGCTGTAAAGTCACTTTTATGAAATTCCTCCTGTGAAATGCTTCCCTCCATGAAGTCTGTGAGAGGCCTGGCCGTGGGTAGCCATCTCTAGTGCTGGGGTTCCCTGCCGTCATGGGTGTTCCTCCAGGGGCCATCCTAGATTGCTGAAATGCCAAGCTTTAGTATTGCAATAACATTGGTTTTGCCATAATATGCTGTAAAGAAGTTTTATAAAAATAAGCAACATTTTCTACGCATATTTTCTCATCCACAGCATTTGCCTATATGCGGTTTTCTGTAAGCTTTTTTCCATCCTTGAGATCACAAAAATGCTCGAGCTGATGCAAAAATATGGAAGCGATTTCAACGGGAAACCATTACCAGAATGGTTCTGCTTCATATTTTTGTCAATTAAATATGTTTTCAGAAGTGCCCGTGGACTGTACCATGGCAGGTCATGAGAATATTGTCATCCTCTCCCACCCCCGGCTTTCTACTTGAATGTTATTATCTTTACTTTGTTCAAAACTGTTCCTAGGCCGAGGGACAGAGTCTCACAAATAATAGCGAATTTATAATATTTCCCAGTTGAAGCATTGCTATTTATCACTTACATTGCATTCTCAAAGTTGAACATACAAATATGGCAAAAACTCGAATTTCTGGGCCAACAGAATGCCACTAATTTATCCCCACTAAACAACTATTATTAAAAATGGCAAGTAATGAGTGTTGGTGAGGAGGTGTAGAAATTAGAATGCTGTGCGTTGCTGGTGGGAAGGTACAATGTCACTGCCACTGAGGCAAACAGCGTGGCATTTCCTCAAAAAAATAAACCAAATTACCCTATGACCCAGCAGTTCCATTCTCGGGTGTGTGTATCCAAAAGAATTAGGGAAAGCAGGGACTCAGAGACTTGCACGCCCATGTTCGCAACAATATTATCCACAGTGGCCAAAACATGGGAACAACACAAGTGTCTAAAGTGGATGATTAGATAAACAAAATGTGGTCTATCTACTGGATGGAATGTTGCACCGTCTTGAAAGGGGTGACGTTGTGACACGTGCTACAGGATGCGTGAACCTCGCAAACCCATTGCGAAGTGAGATTGGCCAGACACAGAGGCCACACATTACAGACACATTCGTGGACCTAGAAAGTAAAAGAGAGGTCGCCGTGGGCTGGGAGCAGAGGGAACGTGGCGTCGTTGTTTGAGGGGCACAGCGTTTCTGTTTGCAGTGATGAATGAGTTTGGGAAATGGGAAATGCTGGTGGTTACACGGCGTGATGTAATGGAACACCCCTGAGTT